ACGGCGCCAGAGGCGGCCCGGCACGCGCTGTGGCCCTTTGTCTCCCTGGGGTGGGCACTGGAGAGCAGGGATCATCGCGCTGCACTTCCTGCTGCAGGACACCACCCCCGACGAGCTTCTCTCGGCCGTCATGACCGCGGTTCTCCAGGACGTGAAGCTGAGGCCGGAGCAGCTGGGGGACATCTGTGTGGGTGAGCACACCGCCCAGGCCCGGCGCTGGGCCCTCCCTGCCATCCCATCCCTCCCAAGCGCTCCTCGCACACCTGCTCACTGAGGGGCCGTCCTCTGGCTCCGTGGAGTGAGACCCCCACCTCGCGCCCTCTTCAGGCGCTTTGTGCATGTTAAGTGTGGTAGAAAGCAGAGATCTCAAATGTCAGATGTTCTCCCTGAGGCTCTTGGCACTGGGTTTGAGGACACTGTAGGAGGCGACAGACCGAGGTGTTCCACTTATCCTGACATCCCGCTGTGCCAGACAGAACAGGAGTGTCCCAAACATCGAGTCCAACCCCTTACTTACAGGTGGAGAAACTGAGGCTGGAGAAATTTGCAGCAGGGCATCGGCCATCCGTCCAACCTTCTTTTCTCCCCTTCCATCTCTAGCCTCGAAAGATAACGAGACGACATGGTGAGATCCGCATCGGATCAATGCCACACCTAGGTCCAGAACCACTGTTCCACCTTCTGGAATGAGAGCAGGGCTTGGGAGAGGACAGCCCGGGGGAGGTGTGCACTTGCAGAAATGCATTTTCCTCACTCACAGGACCAGTTTCCTTAGGCTCCAAGTTTTGCATCGCATTCCTCTTTCCTTAAGGTCTTGCATGTCACCTTTAAGGGCAGCCCCCCTGCCTAGTGAGTGTTGATTTGAAACAGCCAGGTACCCGGGCAAGTGAGTTTGGGGAGCCTCGAGGACTGGGGCTGTTCTATGGCTGTCTCCTCCCGTTCCAAACTGAAATTCCAGAGCCTGGAGGGATAGCTGAAAGACCTGGAATGTCTCCTCTCTGGTATTCACACCTGCACCTGCATATCCAGACCACCACTTGGAACTCAGTAAAGGTTTCTTATCCACAGGAAATGTGCTGCAGCCTGGGGCCGGGGCCATCATGGCTCGAATCGCCCAGTTTCTAAGGTAAACATTTCTCGTTCTCACTCTGCGTTGCCCGTTTTGGCTCGTGAGTGGACCTGGGCCCCAGAGAACTCAGCCCATGGACGAGGGAGGATCAGGTTGGACGCACACCAGACCCGGAGGCAGCCAGACTCCTTCCCTTGGCACCCTACTCTGTGGCCCTAACCTTTCCCCTACTTTGAAGGGAGGGTGTATTACTGAGTCTGAGCCAGGACACAAAGGGCCTTTGGTACTAGAGCAAAAGTTCTTCTCGCCGGAGTTTTAGCCAGAGCCAGCTCATTGCTTGTGTTTTGCAAATGTGGACTCTGTCATGGTCTGTCAGATAAATACCATGTAAGCATGCTGCAGAGTGACTTTGAGCCTGTTTGCTAGTTGAGCAAGCTGGGGACTTGGCACATCCCATCAGCAGCGACTTGGAGACAGGGCAGAACCCTGGGGGAGGGTAGCCAGAAGCCCTGGTAAACGTGTACGTCAACACTTCTGGTCCCAAGATGAGAGAGAAATGCTTAGGTTGTCTTCATCTGTAGAGTTAAGAACGATGGAGAGGGAACCAGCAGGTGGCGTGGTGGTTATGGCTCTGGACACTCCCACATGGCCAACCATGGTTCGAGTCCTGGACCTGACGGCTTGCTTTCTCTCTTTCTCGCTCTGTGTTTCCCTCTGGTCAAATTAAAATGAATGAATGAATAAAATACATAATTAAAAAAAAAAACTAGTGGCACAAAATAATGGTGGTATTTAAGAAAAAAAAAATACTATGTAGAGGCTGGGTGGTTAAGGGTGTTGGACTCCCACAAGGTCAACCATAGTTGAGTCCCAGACCTGGTAGTCTCTCTGTCCCTCTCTGGTCAAATTAAAATAAATAAGTTAAATAAAATTCATGTAGCTTTGTATTTCTAGTTGCATGGAGTAGAAATAACAAACTCTAGCCAGCGATGGGACAAGAAAACAAAACCTCGAGGATCTGGGAGAGGTCCAGATGGCTGAGCCTGGAGTCCAAGGCCTCCCAGCATCTGGCATCAGACCGACCTTCCAGTCCCCCACTCACTTATTTGCCCTCACGTTTCCTTTTTTCAGCCAGCCTTGGCCAACTGTCTACTCTGCTCACTCTGTCCCCTCGGGGCGAGGTCCCTGCCTCTCTCTGCTCTAGCTAAACCCTGCCCAAACAGCCTCACCATCTTGGCACGACTTCCCCGAGCTCTCAGGCCTGAACCTGAGAATCCCTGTGCTCTTCCTTGAGATGAGGCTTTGCCATCCTGCACTGCTAGTTCAGTCCCTGCTAGTTGATTCATTTTCTGTCTGTTAGTTGGGCATCCTCTAGGGCACAATTATTGTAAGCATCTCCACATCCCTCAGGTGGTGCCTCGGGCTCCCTAAGTAGGTATTTAGTGAACACCTGGTGGATTGGGTAGAGTATGGCACCGAGCTAACAGGGAGCCAGAGGACCTGACTGGGAGGGTCAAACAGGCTGCACGGGCCTAGGAGGTCATCCACCCGAAAGGGTCTCAGGTCTGGCCTGGGTACTAGCTCAGAGCTTCCCACCCTGGTCTTACACCACCATCACCAGGTACTTTTACTCCCTGAGGTTCTGAGTCTGGGAAGGGCCTGGAAATTTCCCCCAGGGCTTTCTACTGCTGGCTAAGGCAGCTTATATTGGGAGGGGCAACTGTGCTAACTTCCAGGGCTGAGCCTCGGGCCGGGGCAATCGTGGCCCAAATCGCCCAGTTTCTGAGGTAACGTTTCTCGTTCTTGCTCTGCTGTGGCCATTTTGGCTCGTGAATGGACCTGGGCCCCGGAGAACTCAGCCCATGGATGAGGGAGGATCAGGTTGGATACTGAAGAAGCCACCAGAGCAGGGGATATTAGGACAAGTGGTGCCCATCAGGGTTTTCACACAGTGGGAATAGGCTTCAAAGCAAAGAGGGGACATACAGTGTTAGTCATATGGTTACTGGTAAGGCTAAGGGGTGGGATGGCTTCTGGCCTCATACTTCAGACATTTCTTTGGCTCTGGTGCTCTTTCCAGCCACTTGTCCTCTTTGTTCTCTGGGGGAAACAGAAATGTGTAGTTGTCATTTCTGAATCTTCAAAGGGAGAGAAAGGTGGATTCCTGGGGCCCAAACAGGCTTCCTTTTGCTTTGGGCTGAGCTTGGTCTTTGGCTGGAGAGAATTATACGATGGAAGGGCATGCCTTGTGGGGTCCTGGAGAGTAGATGCCTGCTGAGATGGGGTCTGCCCATGAGCTGCTCACCCCTATCCCATGGACTGGCCTGGCATGGGGGCAGGGCTGCCCTGGTCTTTGTACCCGACTGGGACAGTCTATTGACCAGAGCATAGACCTGCTTTCCCCAAGAGCCCAGCTCGGGAGAGGGGGCTGACTCTGGTCTTGTATTCTGTTTCAGCGACATCCCAGAGACCGTGCCTCTGTCCACTGTCAATAGACAGTGCTCATCTGGGCTGCAGGCGGTGGCCAACATAGCTGGTAAGTTATAACCGGGTGGTCACCCACTGCCGTAGCCTGGCCTCAGTCCTGGCCCCGTGGGTTTGGGTCAGCAAAGTTGCTATCTGCTGGGGATGCAATAAGGATTCCTGAGAAAACTGTAACCACAGAAAGAGTGGAGGAGCAGCCCTTGCCACTGTCCCGAGTCTTTTCTGGACACTCCTGGGTGTCTTCCAACTCTCAGGCTGGGACCAAGTCCCGCCTAGCAACCAGGTGGGGCAGAGGCTCCGCCGCTCCCAGAACAGCTGGACTTCAGCGAAGGATGTTTATGAAATGCTTTTGTTGCAGGTGGCATCAGAAATGGGTCTTATGACATTGGCATGGCCTGTGGGTAAGAACTTCTTTCTGCCAGAGCTTATTAATCAACTTCTGACAATAAAACTAATTTTGATCTCTTTGAGTTCTCAGAGGCCATGATTTCAGGGTTCTCCCCTCACCCCTTGAGGCAGCCGAATGCTCAGAGCCCCCTTAGGTGCAAATGCAGCTTAAGAGAGACCCTCAGCCCTGGCTGCTCAGGGGTTGCTCATGACTCTCGGCAGGGGCGGGAGGCATGCTTTCTTGGCGATCTGTCCGGCTAGAAGACGTGGGCAAGCATTTAGGGAAGACATAGCCCTCGGGTTTCCTTCTGTGTCCCTCCATTTGTGGTGCTCCTGAGTGAGGAGTTGCAGTGTTGGCTCCCTACAGCCAGGGGGAGCAGCCCGCATGGTAACTAGTCTGCATTTCACTAGGCTGTCTGTGCCCAGGTCCCCCACCCTGGTACCAAGGTAGACACTTCTGGTTGCCCACTGAATTCAGAGGGACACAGTGACATCCATGGTGGTTCGGTCAGTCACCCCATCTTTGGGTGCAAGACGTGGTGTCACAGAACTGTCGGGCAGGGCAGGGTCCTGGGGTCCGGGCTTTGTGCGCATCTGTGCTGGCAGGGTGGGGTCGTGAAGGCGCAGGCAGGCCCGGGACACCCCCAGGGCCCCAGCATGCTCCACTGCCTTTCAGATCCTCTTTTAAATGTTTATAGGAAGCAATGCTGGCTCTGACTGGCACTGGGTCATCCCGACCCTCGTCCGAAGTCATGAATAAAGCCGAGGCTGTGACAGGGACCTCGGCTGGGCGAGGGCCTCAGTTCTTTGATTTCGTGTATGTCCTCGTCATAGTGGGGGAGGGGTGGTGTGGGTGATTTGAGGAGAGGGGCTGGAACCCTCGTGAATTTCTTGGCAGGCAACTAGTTCCCAAACAGGGTAAGGACGGTGGTCCGAGGATATTCAGGGCCTGGGCCAGGACTGACCCACACCACAGGCTGACTGTCCCCCTTAGGATTCGGTTGTGAAGGGGGTCCCAGGCCGTCCTGGTTGGGGGTGGGCTCTGGGGCAGACTGCCAACTTTGGATCGAGGCTGGGTGACCATGGACAGATTACTTATGGCCTCTCCGGACCTCAGTGTCCTCCCCTATAAAATGGGGATCCCTACCTCAGCTCTGATGAGACTGAGATAAAATGGAGCAGGGACAAGAGCTGACACTGGGGAGCGTTTATCACGTGACCAACACGCTGGAAGGCCTCTCCTACCCGACAAGAGTTTACAGTAGTGCTGGCACACGGCTGATCTGTCACCAGCCTGGCAGACTTTCTGGTCCCCCCCCAAGCCCTTGCTGGCCATGCTGGACGGGCAGCCCGACTTCTAGCTCAGTACCATGTGGTCTGCGTAGGCCAGATTGCTCTTTGACGGGTTTTGGGGTTACTTGTACGTTTCTGTCCCTCCGCCCCTCTGAATCCAGGGCCCCGGGGCCTCGCTGGCTGAGCTTCCTCCACTGTGGCCAACCCTAGAGGACTTTCCTCGACACCTGCCAATGGCGGTTACCTGGGGAAGCCAGGCCCTGCTGCCCCAGGGCGCGGCCCGTGCAGTGCTCTGCCCCTGGCCGTAGAGACCGCTCAGTGGCCCTGCACCCAAGCCCTGCCTTATTGACCCAGCGCCCAGCCCACAGCTCCCCCACAGCCAGTGAGGGCTCCCTGGCTATTTCCCAGTGCCTGCCAAGTAGACAGCTGTCCCTGGGGTGTCCTGCTCGGGCCCAGCCCACCTCCTCCCTCCTCCGCAGGGTGGAGTCCATGTCCCTGGCCGACAGAGGGAATCCCGGAAACATTACTTCACGCCTGATGGAGAAAGAGAAGGCCAGAGACTGCCTGATTCCGATGGGGTGAGTGCCTGCCATCACGGTGCCCATGCTAGTGGCTCCCCACCTGGCCTGGAGCAAGGCTGAGAACTTGGCCCGCTCTGGCTGGCAGTGCCAAGCTCTGGCCTCTCCTTTGGGCGTGTTCTGCTCTGCAGGGACCTTTCTGTCTCTCCTCCCCTCTGACCTGGGGTGGGGAGGGTGGGGCTTGACGCTGCCCTGGGCTTCCCTTTCCTGCGGCCCCCAGGTCCTCTGTGCACCCGACTTCTGAACATGGCCACCCAGCCATTCCCACCCTGAGGAGCTCAGTCACAGGAGGGACAGTGGCAGCTGTATCCCAAGTTTCGGGGGGGCTAGAAAATTGGAAAGTTGGGGCGCTTTTGATTGCTGAGATGCTGATGGGGAGCTCGGGTCCCATCAGGTGCGACGAGTATGTTGTCCCTTAGCTCTGCAGCCCGTGTCACTGAGCTTCGGGTCTGTCCCCTGGGGCTGTGGCAGAGAGTCCTGGCTCCGGTGGGGGCCTGAGGGGACTGAGGCTGGGAGAGGGCGGTGCCTTGCCTTCTGCCACACAGCGTATCTCCAAGTGAACCTTGTAAAGCCAGAGGCCCAGGCGGAAGGCCCAGCTAAGGCTCTGGACTCCCAGGATGACGGCAGGCCCCAGCCAAGGCCAACGGAAAGCCTAGCTTGGCCTTTCCTAGGGGCCGTGGATGTCACCTCCCCAGATCAAAGCAGTTCTCTTTGAGGTGATGGAAAAGCAGGCTGCGAGTGGCCAGCCAGACCCGCCACTCCTCTTTGTGCTGAGGCAGTTCGCCCGGGGACGCACGGTTCTACAGTCAACCCCATACAGCCCACCCTCTCTGGAGGGGGGTGTCTCTTTGGGATATGATCTTCTTAGGATCCTGCCAGCATTCTTCCACCCCATCTGCACCTCTCCACCTGCCCAGGGTGTAGTCGGTCATCATGGCCGTCTGGCATGGGCTGGCCCTCCTGTCCTCCCCTGCTTACAGCCCGGGACCCGGAGTTCGAGCACAGTGTTTTGTTTTGTTTTGCCACAGAGAGAGGGAAAGTGAGAAATCACTCCGCAGAGGGGGCGGCCACGCCGCAGTCCCTTCTCCTCCGTTCTGCTCTCAGGGTTTTGGGCACACTTGTACATGTGCCCCTCATGGTCCTCAAGCCACCAGGTCTAGGACTCCAACTGCAGGCAGCCCTCTGGGAATCCAGCGCCTTAACCGCCATGCCACCTGCTGGCAACTCAAGCACAACTTCTACAGCCTGGCCCAGTCCCGCAGGCTGGCAGACCCGTGCCCATGCTGTCTGCTCTGTGTGTTCTAGGATAACCTCGGAGAATGTGGCCAAGCGGTTCGGCATCTCCCGGGAGAAGCAGGACGCCTTTGCACTGGCTTCCCAGCAGAAGTGAGTACTGCTCAGATGAGACGTTGGAAGGGCTGGAGGTTCGAGGCTACCCTCGGTGGCCTGAGAGGGAGCTATTCTGAGGACGGCTGGGCAGTGGGAGGTCTCTGTCTCGTGCTCCCAGGTGAGCGCTGGGGGGCCAGGGCCACTGCCGGTTGCTAGCACTTTCAGGTCTTGCCCCTGTCCGTTCAACTAGAATATCATCTCCCTAGCTGGCCTCGGTTTCCCTATCTGTTCACTGGGGGCAGAGCAAGGGCCAGGACTCTGTTTCTCCTGGCTGTGGTTTGGACATGGTGGGCATGGGCCTGTCTGGGTAGCCCGGAGTATGGGGGCTGCAGTGCGAGGACCCCGGCATCCTGGCTCCTGGCTTGTGCCTGGCTCTGGGCTGCCTCCTGAGGTGGGAGCTGGGGCTGCCATCAGGGAAACCCAGGAGCTCAGGCCTTTGTGCAGGGGTAGGCTGAGGTTGTCAAGGCCCCGCTGTCCAGAGGGGACAGCCGAGGGTGTGGCATCTGGTCCCGAGAGGATTCTCTGAGCAGTTATCTTAGCCACTTGGCTCATGTAACTATTGAAAATTAGTTGGGGGACCAGCAGTTGGCTCAATGGCTACATCGCTGCACTCCCATGTAGCTGACCGCAGTTCGAGTCCCAGACCTGGTGGCTTAAACTGACACCAGGCACATGTGCGTGCGTGCCCAAGATCCCAAGAGGAGAATGGAGAAGGGATTGCAGCATGGCCATCCCCCCTGGGGGGGGTGATTTCTTGCTTTCTGTTTCTCTCTGTTTGGCAAGCGCTTGCGCAAAAACCACTCCAAAAAAAGAAAATTAGTTGGAAACTTTGGAGTCCTTCACGTTGGAATGCCCCAGACACTGTATTCTATACATGATTGCAAGGGTCCCCCAAATTCCTTGTGCTTTAAAACGTTTAAAAACAGAAATACATCAGTTTACTGTATGTCACTCTAAAATGTATGGGAACTGGGGACCAAATGAAATCGAGCCATTAGGTTCCAGCAGAGAAGTTCACCGAACGCAGAGCAAAGGTTCCTGGGGCTCCATCCTTACGTTAACAGAGAGAACCAAGCAGGTTTGGGCAAAGGTCTCTAAGATTGGAGGGGAGCCCCACCTCCAAAGCTCCTCCTCCCCTTCGAGTTTGGGGCTGACCACAGTCTGCAGATGTGGACAAGGGCCCCGTAACGCCTCATTCCAGTCCCTCCGGGGGTGTGTCCCCAAATTTAGAAGCCTGAGCTTGCATGGCTGCCCAGTGGGGCAGGGGTAGGACAGGGAGGACAGAGGAAGGAGCCCCAGGGGAGCCTGAGCCTGGCTGTCCACGGTACTGGCAGGGCAGCAAGGGCCCAGAGCAAGGGCTGCTCCCAAGCCGAGATTGTACCTGTGACCACCACGGTGCACGACGACAAGGGCACCCAGAGGAGCGTCACTGTGACCCAAGACGAGGGCATCCGCCCCAACACCACCATGGAGGGCCTGGCCAAGCTGAAGCCTGCCTTCAAGGATGGTGGCTCCACCACGGCTGGTGAGGCTGGGCTGGGGGAGGGGAAGGGAGGGTCCATGACCGTGCTGGGTTCTACCCTGGAGCAGACCAGGCGCCCCTGCTGGTCACTGTGGGCCGCTCTTCAGCCCTGCCCTGACCCCTG